ACAAAAAGATGATTGGCCCTGCAAAATTTTAAGATGATTGGTCATGCATAATAAGATAAATTGGGTCAGCATAAAAAAATAAATTGGTCATGCTAGTAAGAATTTTTTTCATGTAAAAATATTTTTTCCTCCCTAAAGGATGATTTTAAATGCATAAAAGATGATTTTTTCATGCATAAAAAATTATTGTTCAGGCAAAATAAATGATTTTCATGCAAAAAAGGGATGATTGTTCAGAAAATTAAAAGATTGTTCATGCATAATAAGATGATTGTTCATGCTAATAAGATGATTGTTCATCATGAAAAAATGAGGGGTTCATGCATGATAAATATTGTTCATCCAAAAAGATATTGGTATGCATAATAAAAGATTTTTTTCCCAAAATAAATGATTGTTCATGCAAAAAAAGAGGGAATTTTTCATGCATAAAAAAGATGTTTGGGCCCTGCAAAATAAGATGTTTGGGCATGCATAATAATTGATTGTTCATGCAAAATTTAAATTTTGTTTATGCATAATAAATATTGTTTATCCCAAAATAAAAAGATTTTCTGCAAAAAATAAGTTCATGCAGAAAAAGATTTTTTCATGCATGAAAAGAGTTTGTTCTTTGCATAATAAGAGGGTTGTTCATGCTTTAAAATGTTTGTTCTTGCAAAAAAGAGGATTGTTCATCAAAATTTAAATATTGTTCTTTCTAAAAAAATGATTGTTCATGAAAGATAAAATTTTGTTTTTTGCAAAATAAAAATGATTGTTCATGCATGATAAAATATTTTTCATGCATAAAAATATGATTGTTAAGCAAAATTTAAATAATTTTTTCATGGTAATAAATATTTTTCCCAGGCTGAAAAAGGATTTTTTCATGCATAAAAAGATTTTGTTTATCATAAAAAGATATTGTTTCAAGCATAATAAATATTTTTTCATGCAAATAAATGTTTGTTCAGCATAAATAAGAGTTTGTTCTTTCATAATAAATAATTTTATGCAAAAATAAGATGATTGTTCATGCATAATAAATAAATTTTTTCATGCATATAAATATTGTTCATGAAAATTTTAAAAAGTTTTTTTTATGCTTAATAAGATGTTTGTTCATGCAAATAAATTTTTTCCCTTGCAAAAATAATATGATTGACCCATCCCATAATAATAAATTTTTCCCTGGAAATTAAATGATTGTTCAGGGTAATAAAGTTTGTTCATGGAAATTTAAGATGATTTTTTCCAGGGTAATAAAAAGTTTGTTCATGCTAATAAAGGATTGTTCAGGGTAATAAATGTTTTGGTCAGGGCCATAATAAAAATAAATTGTTCTTTATAAAAAAGGATTGTTAAAGGCATAAAAGATGAGTTTAAACATAAAAAGATATTTTTTCATGGTAATAAGTTTAGTTTTCAGCATAATAAAATGATTGTTCATGCAAAATAAGAATTGTTAAATGAAAATAAAAATTAGTGTTCATGCATAATAAATGATTTTTTCCTGCATAATAAATGTTTGTTCATCATAAAAGAGGGAGTGTTCATTCAAAATTAAGTTTGATTTTCATGCATAAAAATGAGGGGTTCCCATGCATAATAAATGATTTTTCTCCCATAATAAGATGTTTGTTCATCCCTAAAAATGATTGTTTTTGCATAATAAGATATTGTTCCGGCATGAAAGAAAATTGTTTTTTGCATAATAAATGTTTTTTAAACCCTGATAAAATTGTTCATGCTAAAAAATATTTTTTTTCATGCATAAAAAATATGTTTTTCAGGGAAATAAAATATTTTTTCATGCATGATAAATGATTGTTCATGCATAAAAATATTGTTTATGCAAATAAGATATTTTTCCCTTGCATAAAAAAGGGGATTGTTCATGCAAAATAAGATGAATGTTAAATGCAAAAAAATGATTTTTTTATGCATAATAAAGTTTGTTCATGCATAATAAAAATATTGTTCATGCAGGGATAAATAATTTTTCCCACCATAATAAGATAAATTTTTATGCATAATAAGAGGATTTTTTCATGCATAATAATTTGGGGTTCATGCATAAAAAATATGATTGATAAAGCAAAATAGGATATTGTTAAAAGGTAAAAAATTTGTTCAGGGAAATAAGAAGATTGTTCATGGAAAAAAAGATGTTTGTTCAGGGAAATAAAAAATTTGTTTTTAAATGGTAATAAATGTTTGGTTCATGCATAATAAGATTATTTTTTCATGCATAAAAAGTTTATTGTTCATCCCTGATAAAGGTTTTGTTTATGCATAATAAGATATTGTTCATCATGAAAAAGTTTGTTCAGGGCCATAAAAATTGATTGTTCTGCATAATAATAAAATTTTCATGGTAAAAAGATTTTTTCATGCAAAATAGATATTTTCATCAAAATAAGATGTTTATTTTATGCATAAAAAAAATGATTTTTTCTTTGCATAATAAGATGTTTGGGTTAAGGGTAATAAGATGATTTTTTCATGCATAAAAAGATGTTTGTTCTTTTCATAAAAAAGATGATTGGCCCCAAGCATAATAAGAGATTGGTCATGCAAAAAATATTAGCCCATCAAAAATAAATGTTTGGTAGGGTAATAAATGTTCATGCATAATAAGAGTTTGGGTCATCATAATAAGGATTTTCATCCATAATAAGATAATTGTTCATGCAAAATTTAATGATTTTCCCTGAAAAAAAAAGATGATTTTTTCATGTAAAAAGATATTTTTTCATGCAAAATAAGATATTGTTCATTAAAAAGATAAAGGGTTCATGCATTTAAATAAAGTTTTTAAAGCATAAAAAGATTAAGATGATTGGTCATGCTTAATAAAATGATTGTTCATGCATAATATGATGGATTGTTCATGGTAATAAGTTGTTGTTCATGCATAATAAGATGATTGTTCATGCATAATAAGAGTATTGGACAAGCATAATAAGATGATTGGTCATGCATTAATACGAGATGAGCATCATGAATATAGATGATTGGTCATGCATAATAAGATGATTGGTCATGTAATAAGATGATTGTTCATGCATAATAAGATGATTTGGTCATGCATAATAAGATGAGTGGTCATGCATAATAAGATGATTGTTCATGCATAATAGGATGAGTGTTCATGCATAATAAGATGAGTGTTCATGGTAATAAGATGATTGTTCATGCATAATTAAGATGATTGTTCATGTAATAGATTATTGTTCATGCATAATAAGATGATTGTTCATGGTAATAAGATGATTGTTCATGCATAATAAGATGATTGTTCATGATAATAAGATAATTGTTCATGCATAATAGATGATTGTTCATAGCATAATAAGATGTTTGTTCATGGTAAAAAGATGATTGTTCATGCATAATAAGATGATTGTTCATGGTAATAAGATGATTGTTCATGCATAATAAGATGATTGGTCATGCATAATAAGATGATTGTTCATGGAATAAGATGATTTGTCATGCATAATAAGATGATTGTTCATGCTAATAAGATGATTGTTAATGCATAATAAGATGATTGGTCATGCATAATAAGATGATTGTTCATGCATAATAAGATGATTGTTCATGCATAATAAGATTGTTCCTGAATAATAAGATGATTGCCACCACAATGTGTTATTGGAAAAAAAGGTAAAAAAAGATTGCACACAGTTGTGAGAACTAGCAAGACAAAACCATTGACTTCCAAGGGCTTTGTAGTGCAGTGGTTGAAGCAGAACTGGAAGTCATTATTGCACAAGTCTACTTTATGGATGTTTTATTTAAATATTATCTTGTCTTTGCAGCATCAAATAACTATTTAATTTTTCAAATGCTCCAAGTTGACAAGTTAACTTTTCAAATGCCCTTTTCCAGGTTGACAATAGCAGTACATGATATTTCATTACACCTTGTTGAATATTGGTCTAACATACTGTAGAATACAGACTACTGTAAAGGTTTTGTTTGAGTTGGTAATTCTGTTACTGCAGTTTGGCACACTGTGTCTATTATATTACATCATTATGCAAATTATAGGTAATTATGTAATAAAGTTGGTCACTATTTTGAAAAAAGTTCTAATTATGTGAATGTTTCCTAGGAACCTTGGTTAGACATTTTACAGTATCACCATCAGATTTCAGTTTTCTATTTTTTATTTTTGATTTCTACATCATGAAAAATATATGAATCTGCTCCACTGTGTAATGCAAATCATGGGGTAATTATATAGCTTTATAGAAAGGAATGAAAAAATAAAACACTTTGAGACATTATATTTGATGAAAAAGTCATTAAATAGAAACAGTCTTACTCCAATGCATGATCAGAGGTCTAGAATAGACCTAATGCACTCCTCATGTTACGGTATGGAAATTAAGGAGGCAGTAGCCACTGTGGCTACGTGGTTTGTGCTCACAACTTTCAACTGAAAGGGTTCAGGTTTGAATCCTACTTTTAGAAAAGCCTTGATTTTCTTAGAGAAGACATTTTGCCTTGGCAATGATCATATGGTATTAAACCTAAATGAATAACAGTTTGATTTTTCTTTTTTCTTTCTCCTTAGGTAGTGGTAGAGCTCTGTGCCATGGACGAGTGTGGAAAAGGGATGGAACTCTTGCCATGTCTGTTGCCCAGGAAGGTGTTGTGAGAAACAAACCAGTGGAGACTGTATCCAAGTTTTAGTGGAATTTTATATTCAAATAAATGTTATTTTAATGTTTAATATTAAAATTTTGTAAGGAAAGAAACAAAATTAATTCCTGTATTCCTTACAAAGAGAGACCTGGAAACAACACATCAGAATCTAGTCAGCCTTCCTTTATCAGTGAATGTAATTTTTAAATGACCCACTGCTTGCAGATAACCTGTTTAACTTTCATTGGCCATGCTGCAAAGTTTTTAAATTTTTACACAATTTTAAACTTTTGACAGATTATTTTGACAAAACCCTTTTTTGCATGATGAAGCAAGGAACAATTGATGTAGACAAACAGAACCTCTCCGGTGGCCTAGTTGTTAGAGCATCTGCCTCAGATGTGGGAGGTCGCAGGATCAAACCCTGGCCGAGTTATACCAAAGACTTTAAAAATGGTATTAACAATTGTCTCTCTTGGTGCTTAGCATTAAGAGATTAGTGTTAGGACTGTTGGCCTGGTGTCAGGATAATGTGACTGGGTGGGACATATCATGCCACATGTCTGCAGCATGATGCCTCAGTGCTAGACATCACTATAAACTGTCACACTGCAGACCTGTAGCAACATGACTGAAAAATTGTTAAAGCTACGTTAAAAAATCTGAATCACACACACATGTAGACAAACAAATTTGATAGGATTTGTTGTATTCATAATTCTGTATATTATCTGATTAAATTTTCAGGCCATTACAGCAAGTTTTTAAGAACTTTACTTTTTTCATAACTTACTTTTACTTTTCCTTTGTTTAATGGAAACTGTTTTGGAGAATTAAGCAAAAATCACTTGAATTAGGCAAATGAAATTTGGTTTGCATATCTGTAGCTAAATAGATTTTCACATCATTTTGGCAATATTTAAATTTTTTCTAAATCTTTTTAAATATGGGATCTGCAGTTTAGGAATATTTTTTACAAACACAAACTATTACTCTTCTTATGCTTTGTGTCCATCCCTTATTAAACCAGGTGCTTACTTTCCTTATATACCCATAATGAAAGTCTGATATCTACATATATCTTTGAAAATATTACCATATTATATGCTTATACCAAGGATATTGAAATCAAAATAGCTCTTACCATACATTTTATTTCCAGCATTAAATTTGACATCCATATATTTGCAAAATTTATTATAGAAATATTTAAATTGTAAAAAATGAGGCTAATATTTAAATATTAAATTGAATGGAAATTGTGTAATTTTCTGTTTTTGATTTTCCTATTCCTTAAGTCTTATCTTTCAAGCTTCTCTAGTTTTCTCTCAAACCATATATATATATATATATATATATATATATATATATATATATATATATAAATTCTGTTTGAGATAACTATGCTGTTGAATTTCACAAAACAACAATATTTGAATTAACTCTACAGTTTTTCAAAAGTATAATAATTCAAAAGAAGGAAATGCATAACACTTAGGTCATTAAGGCCTAGTGTTGCATAAATCCATCCAAAACACTAGTGACTTCATAATGGGGCATCTTTAAGATAACATTGAATAAATGTGACTTTAAAATTCATTGATTCACTGAAAGTTCACCCATAAGTAACACAATAACACATAAGTAAAAGGACCTATGATTGGGTAGAATCCTTTGCAAACATCTGGATTATTTAGTGATATCCATCTAGAGGTAGAGGTTTTGCAGCAGAACACAAATCTACAGGAGCTTGTTAATTAGGTCCTCATTCAATATTTTGCACATGAAATATAAAGCACATTCATTGTCCAATGTGTATCCCAAAGGAGGCTAAGTTTAGACAGTGAAAGAATTGAGTAGCATTGAGGGACTGAATCTTTAGCTACTCATTCTAAATATGAAATTGCTTTATTGAGGATAGTGACATTATTGTTAGCAACTATTCATCCAACAAATTGAAGGAAAATGAGTTGAAAGGTAAGTCAGAGGATGAAACGCTAGGTCCATTACTGTAGACTGAGATTCTGTGACCTATATTTATTAGACCACATCCAACAAAAGAATCTAGCAAGATGTTACTGATTATATGGTTTGCACTTTTTACCTGATTTTGATTATTCCACATTTATGTCTTTCCTGTCTGTAGATTATAGCATCTTTTTTTCTTTTCAGTTAGGATCCAGGTTTCACATATCTTTGTGTTCTAAAGGTCTGATATGTGATGCCATACTGCCACATAAAAAGCAGATCATGTGTTAAGTTAATGTAATGTATATAGTACAGGGCAAATGCAGCCAGTTTGAGCTATCTGGATTATGCATTAGTGTGACACAGTATCTTAAAAATCATCCAAGTGTCAAAAAGAATTACTATTATATAACAGGAATTTAAAATTTGTGGGGGGTGTACATTTGTATTACTTTTTAAGTTTATGATATATTCAAAAGAAACATACATAAAGTTATTATGTATTACCCAGCTTCATTTCCTCTCTTTAAGACCTGTAAATTATATAATATTAAGGTCCATTGAAGTCCTTATATTAAGGACAAAACTTTTGATTCTTGTTGTTATTAGGCAATTTTTGTAAAACTGGCTTTTCCAGCAGCTTGACAGCAATCACTTTGTGCATATCCATATGTCCATTCTTATGTCTGTCCATGTGTCAGTCTAGTCTTGAATTTGGGGAGGTCAGTTTCTCATGATACACCACAGAGTCATGCTACTTAATAGGTAGACAAGTCCAGTTTTGTAGTTTACTAAAATGTTTGTTGGATATATAATCCTTGACTAGCTTCTTGTCTTCTCACAAATTTTGCAACATTGACTGATTTCTGTTTTGTTTTTTTATTGATTTTATTATTGACTATGCATAGGGTTATAAAAATTATTCTTTATATGATGCAGTAACATTTTATATGCTAATAGATGCAAGCTTCCTTTTGACTGGCCAATTTTGTAATAATTGTGTTGATTATTGTTCAATCGTGGACATGGCAGATATTTTGGGACATAGAGTAAGGGTGGGCTTTCTACTTTTGAAGGTTGTGACTTTAAACACTTTCTTGTAGTTTACTGAGTGTTGTAAACTTATGATAATCTTTTTTAACTTTAGAACCTGCAGATTTGACAGTGTTAATGAAATGGCAGGAAAATGTAAAGAGTACAGTATTTTGTGCTACAAAGCTTTTACATGCCTTAGAACCACCTCCTTTAGTCTAATATTAATTAATTGAATTTCAAGTTAATTTATGTAGGTAAAACACAGAATTTGTGAAAAAGCTGTAATAGAGATTATAATACATGACTGAGGACGTTTAATTTGCCAATAATTTGTGCAAGTTTTATATCCTCTATATTTTGCCATCGTTTAACTCACAGAAATTTAATCTTTTTACCATAATAAGAGTTGTAGTATTTCATCATTCTGCATGGTGCAGAAACAACAGGCTTGTATTCACTAATTTGTTTTCATGGGTACGTATTGCAATGCTTGTCCAACATAAAAATTAAAAACTTTAGTCGAGAGAGTACTTGTTTAGCAAAATCAGTGTGTGTCTCCATGTAATCAGTGGTGTAACAGGTGTCATTAAATGTATTCATAAAATTAGTGAGTTAAAAGTGCTACCTTCACTTGCAAATCAAGCCAAGGTCATTTGCCACTAAAACCTGTCTAGTACAAGTTGTATTTAAAATTTATTCATGCAGTCATTACATTTAGGAGCATGTTTAATTTTAATTGTTGTTTAACATACTATTTAATGATTTATATTATCACATAGTCAGTACACTTGATCTGTAGTATGTGCAGTTTAAAATTTTTTTATATTGTTAACATATCACTTTATGTGAATTTGATTGGTCCAAATAATTCTATGAAATTATTGCACAGTATTATCTTTACTGTCTCATTGTGACTGGGAAAATTTCATTGTCTTTCCTGCTGGAACTTTTTTTTTTTTTTTTACTACTATCATTTTGGCAGCCATTTTTAAAAAAAAAATCAACTGTCCAAAGACAATAGTGACAAAAAGCCATATCTGTCTGAATATGGGGGTCTTTATGCTGTGTATGGATTATCATGTATCTTTATGCTGTGTATGGATTATCATGTATCTTTATGCGTGTATCTTTATGCTGTGTATGGATTATCATGTATCTTTATGCTGTATATGGATTATCATATTATCATGTATCTTTATGCTGTGTATGGATTTTGGATATATATATATATATATATATATATATATATATATATATATATATATATATATATATATATATATATATATATATATACACACACACACACACACCCTATTTACAAGAGCAGCTTAAATATTAACATATAAACTCTCACCTTGTGTGTGTTCACAGAAGAATGTGGATATAAACCAACCTCCAAACTGAAAGACTGTTAGTCAAGCACAGTATGTTTTTGCTGTAAAATAATTGCTCTTATCATGTGATACAATTTCGAATTTGTCAATATTGTCTACTGTTCAGAATCAAATAATTCAAATATCCAGTCACAAATATATTACTGTAAATCTGGAATAACTTCATCCATAATTATCCCATGACTTATCCAACAATCTGAATACTTAGATGTGAAACTGAGTGATACACTCTCACCATTAAACATTTTTCCATGTGACATCATACTGAACTTGCACATGATTCTGTGTTGAAAAGTTATGTCAAATATTCTATATATAGAATATTCTATGTATTTGGAAAGATAATTGCTTCATGAATTATAATTGGTAAAAATGAAACAAAGATTACTAGTTACAAAACAGCGCAAAAAATACCAGGGACTATTTTTTTAACAGACAACAAATGAAAGGTGCTTCATCTGAGTCAAAATGAATGAAGTTATTTCTTCTTCTTTCACTCCTATTTTCATTCAATAAAAACTGTGATAAACAGAATCTCAGATGGCTAATGATTTATTGTTAAATTGTTAAACTTGTTTCATAAATTCAATTTTAAATCATTATCCATATATATGTTCTTTTCTATTAAATATACAATGCACAAGTTAACAAGTCATTGAAGTAATGAATGAATGTGTAACGATATAAGTTATGGTTTTTTTTTTCTTACAAAATGTTTGAATGATTTTGTTGAATTTGTTATAATAAATATTTTTGAATTAGATGAATAAGTTTAGATTTTTTATGATTCAAGTCATTATCTGGATTTTGATGCTGATAAGACGAGATCTGTCTGCAATTGGTCAATCTGCATTCCTGTGATTTTTGTTATACATTTATCAATTTTGAAACAATTATAATACTGACAATTTTAAATTCATTACTGTGGAAACTAATAAACATTACCAAACCTGAACTTTCATAAATGGTAATGTACTGAACAGTACATTATTGCCTGGTTCGCAGACCATTGGTAACTACTGCTCATATGTGGGCT